GAAGAGGGGCAACCAGGACAGAATCCGGCACCCCGACCGGGACTAGAACCCAGTGTGCCGGTGCCGCAAGGCAGAGGATTAGCCGAGTGAGCCGCGACACCGGCTAATAAATCTTAAAAATAAATACACAATTCTTTGGTTTAGGGCCACTTTTAATCCAGTCTGACCTAATTTTAACTCATTTCACCAGTAAAGACCATTTTTCAGATAGGGCCACATTCTGAATTTCTAAGTGGAATAATTTTGAGGAAACAGAACACCATACTCTGCAGCTTTCAGGTTGTGGTAAGAGGCTTTGAACTTGATACCATTCAAATAATTTTCTACTCTGAAGTTATATACCTTAATTATTAAGTTAAATTAAGAATTGACAGTAGGGGGCCAACTTCATTTTGAGAACTGAGTGTTAGAAAATATCAGTGAAAATGAGAAGTTAAAAGCCTTACCTTTTGGCCGGCGCCGCGGCTCAATAGGCTAATCCTCCACCTAGCGGCGCCAGCACACTGGGTTCTAGTCCCGGTCGGGGTGCTGGATTCTGTCCCGGTTGCCCCTCTTCCAGGCCAGCTCTCTGCTGTGGCCCGGGAGGGCAGTGGAGGATGGCCCAAGTGCTTGGGCTCTGCACCCCATGGGAGACCTGGAGAAGTACCTGGCTCCTGCCTTCGGATCAGTGCGGTGCGCCAGCCATTGGAGGGTGAACCAATGGTAAATTAGGAAGACCTTTCTCTCTCTCTCTCTCTCTCTCTCTCTCACTGTCCACTCTGCCTGTCAAAAATAAAAAATAAAAAAAAATTAAAAAAAGCCTTACCTTTTCGGAACTTTGTCTATATCATAGTTTCTGACTAGTATACTAAGCATGATGTCAGTGTTGACATTAAGGGCATTTGACACATGTCTTTTGAGTAGAGATTTAAGATGTTTTTGTATAGATTTCAGTGGTTGACCAAGAAGAATCACATTAGAGGTTTCATGTTCCTTGGCTACCAGGTCTAAAATCAACTTTTTTTTTTTTCCCCCAAAGCAGTCCATTTAGTAAATGCCAGACCAAAGAAATTAAAATTAATTCCCTTGCTATTATAAATATTTGCTTCTCAGTACTTTTTATTTGTTAAGGTGGCTTGTGATTTTCTAGGATGCAGGTATTGCACAACTTTTCCCCAAAACATTTTTTGTAGGGCATCTCCAGAAATTGATCATCTGTGTCACATACTTTGGTAGAATCACTTTGGGTGTTTGCTTGCTTATCAAAGTACAGGTAAACTCTGCTTTTCCGAAGGTACATTTATAGAAACTGAATTTCTGTGCTTTAGAAATTGGTTTTGAGGCCTTTCACAATGGATGAGGTTCTGGATAAAAAGAAAACACCTAACCCAAGGTTAAGGTGTCAGCAGGTTTGCACCAGGGCTTTACTGTTATGGTCTCATGTCGATCGCTCATTTATTCAATTGTGCCTTCACTGATTTTACATGGATATATCCAGCCTAAGCAATTATCTATTAATTTAAAAATGATGGAGAAACAGATTTCTTTTCATTAAGTCTTCCTGAAAATACATGTAGATCACCATTTCCCAAAGTGATCCCAATAAATGGAAATGACCAGTTACAGACTGAATCCTGTTTCTCGCCAAATTCCTATGTGGAAACTCTTACCTGGAGTACCTTAGAATATGACTGTATTTGGAGATAGGGTCCAAATCAAAGTGGCAGTCCACGTTGAATGAGGTTATAGCAGTGAAGCCCTCGTCTAATAAACTGTGGTCCTTGTACGTGAAGGAAGTCACCAGGGTTGTGCGAGCACAGAAGAAAGGCCAGGTGAGAACACAGCAAGAAGAGGCCATCCGCAAGCTGAGGAGAAAGGCTCAGGAGGAAACAAAACAAACCAAACCTGTTGATATCGTAACCTTAGGTTTCCAGTCTCTGGAATGCGTAAAACTCACCTGTTATTCAGGCCCCTCTATCTGTGGTTCTTGCTATGGCGATTGGAGCAAATTAAAGCACTACTGTTCATTAGGTCCGCGCTTTCAGGAGCTTTCATCGGCTAACAACTGTAATGTCAGCTGAGGCTTTATTGCATTTTGGAGGTATTTCATTTGAACGAACTTGATTGTAAACCTCTTGTGGGCAAGGCCTGTGTTGCAAGTTTGCATTTCCACAACGACATGAAGGAGACAGGCATCTGCTAGAATGAACATGTCATCTCCATTTCTACTGTGCCCTGTGAAAGAACAATGGAGAGTCAGCACAATGTATCTTTGAGACAGCAAGAAATAAGAAAAAAAAAAAAAAAACAGAGCCACATGTGCTAAGCACATAGCTAGAAGCTTCAAGTATCTTCTTATTTAATACTTCTATTCTATTTGGAGATTCAAATCTTTATACCATTTTACAGATGAAGAAACTGGTACAGATTAATTGCTTTAGCCAAGATCATAAAGTCATAGGTAGAACCACAATTCCTTTTTTTTTTTTTTTTTTCTTGACAGGCAGAGTGGATAGTGTGAGAGAGAGAGACAGAGAGAAAGGTCTTCCTTTTGCCGTTGGTTCACCCTCCAATGGCCGCTGTTGCTGGCGCGCTGCGGCCGGCGCATCGCACTGATCCAAAGCCAGGAGCCAGGTGCTTCCCCTGGTCTCCCTTGGGGTGCAGGGTCCAAGAACTTGGGCCATCCTCCACTGCACTCCCTGGCCACAGCAGAGAGCTGGCCTGGAAGAGGGGCAACCGGGACAGAATCCAGCGCCCCGACCGGGACTAGAACCCGGTGTGCTGGCGCCACAAGGCGGAGGATTAGCCTATTGAGCCACGGTGCCGGCCAGAACCACAATTCCATTTCTTTTCCCTGAATATATGTTGCATGGAGGGAAACAAGTACAACTTAAAAAAAATGAAGAAAAAATATTGAGTGTTTCCATCCATTACTTAAGGAAAGTGGAAGACTGACTACATAGCAGCATTTATGAAAAACAACTGCACGTCCCCATAAGTGACATGGGTATCACAAACTTAGCTCATGGTTAAGTCATTCAAATAAAAATAATGATTAGAAAGCATTATTGAGCACTTATTAAGTTCCAGGCACTGTTCTTGGTTACCTGTATTCTTAGACTTATTCTGTGTGGCTGGTGGAAAAGCTGAGTGGGTCCAAAGGCAGGTGGCCAGAATAACTTGCCTTTGAAAGGATGCTATGCAGTTACAGGTGAGGTTTGCTCTGGATAAGATTGAAGAAGAGATAGATAGCTGCATTGAATAGTTGGGAACTCTTCGGTTAGAAGAGAAATTTAGACATAGTTCTTAAAGAGATAGTGAGCTTTCAATCACTGACAATATTCATAAAGATGTGTGCATGTAAAGCAACTCTTGTGTTTAAAGGAAAGTCAACTCCTTACATTTGGAGATTTTAGGATTCATAAATTATCACTGTCAACTTCTCCAATAACAAAATTAGTATTTGAGGCGAACTATGAGTTCTGATTACTATGGGAACTACAGGAAGAATTTCCAATGTGAGAAACATTATCAATTCCTTATGGCCATTACTAAGAGATCCTCACAAGGAAATTGTTCAATTTGAACCCTTCACATACTGATTCTTTTATAATTATGTTGACAAAATTCAGTCTCCAGTGTCCCAAGCCAATGCCATCACCTGTTTCTAAACTTTTTTTTTTCTTTCCCTTATCAGGGAGAGAAGCCCATCTTACAGCCCATCATTGGGCAAGGCATCCAGCAGAAGCTTCTTAAATGCAATAGGATATGATCGGATGTTTTTCTTACCTGGGATCAGTGTTTCTGGAGAAGTCGCTATAGAGGCTAAGACATGAGTACATGATGACAGTGAATATCATTAGAGCAATTAGAGTAGATAGTCCATTTGCAAGCACCAAAGAAGTGCATTTATGTGGTGCGTTGGGGCTACCCAGAGCCCCAAATGACAGTTTAGGGGTACTGTATTGTGGGGCATCTTGAGATGAAATTAGGATACGTTGCTGAACAGTCCTAGCGAGAACGGGTCAAGAAAGACACTGCATTGAAGAGTACAGTGTACCCACAAAATCCAGGCTGTTGGAGGGGTGTGTGTGTGTGTGTAAAAATGATCTAGAAAATCACATTGTTGTAGCCCTGAACACTTGACTAGTAAACGCGATAACAGGAAGGAAAAAAAAATGTGTCCACAGGGTGTTCCATCCTGCTGTTCAGAACATTGTGGGTGCCCAAACAATATTAATGCTCTATGATGAAGACGGTAGAGAGGATGATGATGATGATTAATGCAACTCATGGAAAAACAGGGCTGGGGAGGATGACATAGACCAGGGACCACGAGAGGGAGGATGACTCACGGGTGAGGGGTACCTGGGGATAGAGCGATGTGGCGTGCACGTTGGCGAGCGTGGGGGAGCGGCCGGGGCACGCGTGCCTCGGACCTGGGAGTGGGCGGGTGGGCGCGGAGAGGCGGAGCGTATCCCGGACTGGGTGGCTGGCAGCTCTGTCTGCGAGAGCAGCAGCATCACCCGGGAGCGAAGCCTCGGAGACTCCGCCTAACTGACACCCAAACTCTCCCTCTCCCTCCCGCAGCCCCAAACTGGAGGCAGCTGAGTCTGCGAGCAGCCTCGGCGGCGGCGGCGGCCGCCCCAGCCCCAGCCCCAGGCCCCAGCCCCGGCCCCAGCCCCAGCCCCAGCTAACGCTAGCCCCGGCCCCGGCCCCAGCCCCAGCCCCGGCCCCGGCCCCGCCCCCGCCTCGCGCGCCCCGCGGAGACGCCCGGATCGGCGGAGCCCGGCGCAAGCCCTCGCCCCCTCGCCGCGCCCGCCGCGCCTCCGCCCGCCCGCCCCCGCCGCCGAGACCCGGCTGCGGGAGGCGGCCGGCGGCCCCGAGCCTCGCTAGGGCGACCAAAACAAAGGCAGCATCCGGGGCTGGGTGGATGCAAACAACCATGAAAGCCTGGGCTCGCGCTCTCCCCAGCTCCGCCGCTGCTGCCGCCGCCGCCGCCGCCGCCGCCGCCGCCGCTGCCGCTCCTCCTCCCCCTGCCGCCGCCGCCGCCGCCGCCGCCGGGAGGGCTCGGCTGTGAGGGGAAGCAGGGGCGCAGCAGCTGGGCGTGCTTCCGAAAGGTGAGAGCGAGCCGCAAGCGGAGGGGGCGGGCAGGCCACGAAGATGTCCTCGGCCGTGGGGCCCCGCGGTCCTCGCCCACCTACGGTGCCTCCCCCCATGCAAGAGCTGCCCGACCTGAGCCACCTGACCGAAGAGGAGAGGAACATTATCATGGCAGTGATGGACCGGCAGAAGGAAGAGGAGGAGAAGGAAGAAGCCATGCTCAAGTAAGCCACCCGTGCCTCGGTGCCTCCCTCCGTCCATTCACCACTCACTCGCCCAGTCCTCCCGGCCGGGTGGGGGAGGGGCGGGCGCGGGTGCTGGGTTCGGGCGGAGGCGCCCGCCCCGGGGCCAGGGGTGCTGGGTTTGAGTAGGGGTGAGGCCAGTGGGGCCAGGGGAAGCAGGGGATGCCACCGAGCCGGAACCAAGGAGCCGGGTGTAGATGGCTTGAGGCTGGGGTGCCCGGGAGGATTGGGAGTGGACAGGGGCCACCCCGGTGGTGGGATGTGAGGGAGCTCAGAGAACCTGAAGCCGCCAAAGTGGAAGGGCCCTGGGCTGGGAGCAGGTGAGGGGGCAGCGGATAAGCAGTGGAAAGGAGGGGTGGGATGAAGAGGTGCTGAGGACAGCTCCTCTGCTCTTTTGGAGTTGTTTGGCAGGTCGGGGTTAGCCCGGTGAAGGGTGCCCGCATTTACAGAATGAAAATGCTGATTTTTAGTATTCATTTTGCTACTCATTCATTTCACAGACCAAGGTTGGGTCTTTTCTGGGCAGTTGCCATCTTTGGTAACCTGCCTCCCCAGCTTCTCTTCACCCTGTTCTTCACAGTCTAGAGCAGAGAATACCTGTGTGAAGATACATTTTCTTACCCAGATGTAATGCCACGGGCAATGCAAAGTTTCTGATAATGAGAGAAGCTGCTGAGGAATCTGGCCTGAATAAAATAGAGGTCTCTCTTTGGTGGGCACCAAGAGACCTCTGGGGCCTGCTCCATTCCTGGAGGAAGCAGTCCAGTAAGATGTTGAGTGTTTGCACACATCCTGCCTTCTTTAGAGCCCATAGAGCCCTCAAAGCATCTCTGTCTGGTGCCCTATTTTCCTGGGGACGGCGAGGGGATAGGGTTGGCTGCTGGTGGTGCAGGGGTGTGTGACAACTATGCTGCTGCTTGCTCAGACAACACTGCTTACAAGGAACTGGCAGAGAGACCGGGCTTTCTCATCCTTAGCATCACCCACAGAGTGGAGCTGAAGGGGACTTCATCCTGTCTTTCCTGGGGGAAGTCTTCATGTATTGGGGAAAGTTTCCCACTATGGAGTGGGAGGATTTGGAGACCCTGACTGGGAGTAATTCTTCAGGCCCCTTGTGTAAGCTAGCAGGTGTATCTGGGGGCAGGGGATTGGCATGAGGAGCTGAGAGGAACCTGTTGCATCTGGAGTTAGCTGATAGCACAGGTGAGAAGCCAGGATTTAGAGCAGAGAGTAGAAAGGGAGCAGGAGTGACAGTCAGTACAGAGCACACCCAGCATGGCCTCTCTCCCACCCCTAGAATTGCCTCCTGGAGGGAAGATGCTGCCTGGAGGGTTTCTTCCATTTCCCCTCAGTGCAGCAGTGCCTCACAGGAGAGGGAAGAAGGGAGGCTGCATTCACAAACTGATGAGTCTCCAACCAGTGCAACTGTCACCCAGAGCAGGGAGGCGACACTGAGGGAGAGATGTGGTTGCTGGGTCACAGCAAAATAGTAGAAGCCCAGTCATTCCTGCCCTGTAACTATGGATGGAGAAAAGGGCTGTTAACCAGGCAGGCCAGAGCTGGCCTGATTCTATAAAGAGCAGCAGGCTTCTGCGTTCCCTGCTCCTTCTCATCCGAAAAACAAATACTTTAAACCTGCAGGCTTCAGAGAGGCACAGCCCTCGGTAATCTGCTGCCTGTCCCTAGTGGAAGAATGGCATCCCCGGTGCTGCAGGCTTTCCCTCTTCTGAGACTGGAAGTAATGGATGGTGTCTGATGGTGCTGCTGTCTGTGTGTCTAGTTGTCAGTTTGTCTGTCCTTACTGGTTGCAGCCCCTGCCACCTGTCCTGGACACCTTTTCTGCTCTTCAGTATTTCCAGGTGTGTTGCTGTTCCTTTTGGTGTTCACTGCAGACAGCAAGTGGATGGAGGCTTCCAGCACCTAGTGGAAAATATGGGTGGCTGCTTGACAGTCTGGTTAGAAAGGGGAAGGCACATTGCAAGTTGTGGCCATCACGCCTCTTCATTGGCTGTTTCAGGCATGGTGGAGAGTGATGAATTTTAAGTGGGAGTGGGTGAGTTTTAGGACAGAATCCTAAACCTGCTAACTGGTTAAGGACAGTGATTATATGATTGTATGGGCTTTTATGGGCAAATGAAAAATAAAGCATTGTCCAACTGCTCACCTGTAACACTTTTTTTTTTTTTGCCCACTGCTTTTCCTATGAGTGCTTTCCACTTACTTGCAAATATTTTTCCTTCATTGCATGGTTTCACAAAATATCACAATATGTCTTGCTGTTATACAATAGACTTCTACAGTCTTGGACCTCTGCATTAACTTGTATCAGTTATCCTCTTTTACTGATGTCTTTTGTGCAATGGATTGGTGAGTCTCAGTTTGTTGCCATACAAGTGTGTCATATTATCTACAAGTAATGGAACAGTAGTATACTTTTATTGAGGGGACTCTTGTCTTAAAAACTGAGGATAGCAAAGGCTATTGAGGTGATAGACATATAGAGGGATTTAATGATACCCGGTTATAGGTGGTGGCTTTTTCTAAACTTCTCATTGTAGTGCACAGGATTTTGCCAACATTTGTTAAATCAGAGAAAAGCTTTTATGGCAAGGCTAGGTCCATCATATTACGTATTAGAGAAATTGCTGTCACAAAAGGCCCTATGAAGTTAAACTTCTGGAAGCAGTAATACGACTTAAAATTCACTTTTGTTATCAGTGCAGAATCATCACCCTGAGAATCCTACTGGGCATGCTTTCCGTCTTCCTAGTTTGTAAAAGTAGGCTTTAAGAAGGAAAAGGGTTATTGTGCCAAAGCAACATTACAAAATATCAGTTAAAATATAATTGTGCAGTTTCATCAGCCTTGATTATTAAGTTACTGCTTGACTCTAGTTTCAATCATGTCTTTATGTATAAATGGGAAAAAATAATCAAGCTACCTTCACCTCAAGAGTTCAGAAAAATTTTATGTGAAATTGAAAGTACTTTATAATTAACATTATTTTTGGCAAAAAAGTATGTTAATTTTAAGTACAACTGGCATATAACTGGAAATAGTTAACTTCTGCAAATTATATTTAATGATTATTTTAATTATCTACAAATTAGAGGTATTTTCTTAATCTTAGTAGCTGTGTGTGTGTCTTTGAGTGCACATGTACATGCTAGAGGCTTTTTGAAACCTTATTTCCTCGATGAATACTCTTTCAAGTAATTTTAGGTAGATATCATGAGCAAATATATAAGCTAAAAACTATATTATCTGGAGCCTAAATCGGGGAATATCTCATTAGATCTAAAATCTTTTTTGTTGTTGTTAATAAAAGCTTCCTAGAGGAAAGAGTGATAGAAGAGTAAAAAAAGAGGAAAAAAAAAAAACCAGAAATATGGGATTAAAGGGATGGGAATTGAGAGCTGCAATGGAATTCTTAATGAAAATAGTTAATATTTATTGAGTCTTTATCTCTTATCAGCCATTATTTAATGTAGTTATTTAATCTATAGTTATTTAATCATATTTAACCTGCATATAGATGAACAATGCTCAAGTGTAATGTGTGTATGAATATTTGGATTCTCACAGAAGCCTGTGCAGAGGTGAGGCAGGTATTATAATTTTCTAGCCTCACCCTACACTCAGAGAGTTCTAATGATATCCTCAAGATGACTCAGAAAACATGGCCCAACCAGGATTTAAACCCAGACCATTTAATCTAACTTTGGGTGTTTCCTGACACACTGCACTGATTTTCGATCAAGAAGAAGCTGGTGTTCCATTTATCTTTTCCTTAAATGAATTTCTGAATTTTCCTCAGTTCCAGAGAAGTGGTTTGGCAAGGGATTAGGCTGATTCAGAAGATCAGTGTGGATTATGAGAAGGCTTGGAGCTTCACCCACATATGTTAATGTGGATTCACAGAAAGGGAGGGTCTCCAATTTCAAGACAATAAATGCATCAGGGTATAGTGGAAAGGTGAATACCTTTGAATACAAGGGCCTTTGAACTGTAATTCTAGGTATGCCACTTACTGTATAAATATGGGCACGAGAATTATCCTGTGATTGTGTGAGGTTCTATTTTTCTAAAAATTCCTGCAACCTGGATTATGAATTGATTTCTAAAGAGTCTTGACTTTGGGCTTCTTCCTCTCTGCTTCACAGGGAGCCTAGCAGTCATCCACAGTAGCTCCCTCCTTTGTGGAGACAGAAGAAGAATTCCTGTAACTTCATTTTTCTTCTCCTCTCTCTCCCTCCAAATAACTAATATTTTCTCCTGAAGTGTGTCCGTGAGATTCTCTATGAGAGACTCTGTTTAGCAACAGGGACAAGAAGACTAGGTAGACTGGGAAACTGAGGGGGGAGTAATGGTAGAGTCCTATGTACACAGGTATCATATTTTCACTGGGATTTGCAAGCATTTTCCCATTTCACACCAAGCAGCATTCTCTCATATTGCTGAAGCAAGGATGGGTAAGGAGGAAGGGGAAAAAGGCAGTGAAGGGAGTAAGAGGACCAAGTGCCAGGTGTCTACCTGTTCCAAGGTGTTGAATTAGGAGGAGACTTACTGTTTGACTCTAGTCTCTTTCACACCATTAATGGATAGGGTTAAACTTAGGGACGACTAACCCTGAACTACTGTGGAGATTTGTGCTTTCAACCAAAAGCTGCCTTAATAAATGTGCATGCCTAGTACTAAGATCACAAATGCTAATAGAGAAAACACTGGAAAAGAACACTAAAAGATGAAACAGGAGGCGTTACCAAAGAGAAAGGAGAGTGAGAGACAGGATCATTAGTTGCCATTTCTGTCAGCTTGTCTTGATTTTCTTTAAACTTGGCTGTGTTCCTTCCTCACTAGCAGTAAGAGGCATTGCCATTTAACTAAATAGAATATTAAAGCAGAAGTGGAATATGGAAACACCGTTGTTAGCTGTATGTGCTATACTAACTTTATATTAAATTAAGTGTAGAAATACATTC